ATTTAGAATTAAGGTTAGGCCATAGCTCATAATCTGAATTATCCTCAGTTGTGCACATATCGCCCGTCAGTTTCAGGAATGAAATAAGTCGTAACATAGTGAGGCCTCTGGAAAGAAGTCTTGACCCACCTGACACAATTAATAATAACTTATCCTCAATCTCTCACCCTCAATATTCGCCAACGAGTACTCCCAATACCACTGATGCCCTAATACATTAAGAGTTACACTAGGCCCTTCAACCTCATCTATTAAGTATAGCAACCGTAATGAGGGATAGGCAATGGACTCTCACCCTCAATATTAGCCAACGAGTACTCCCAATACCACTGATGCCCTAATACATTAAGAGTTACACTAGGCCCTTCAACCTCATCTATTAAGTATAGCAACCGTAATGAGGGATAGGCAATGGCCACTAGGACTACTCCTGGGATAACCGTCCATCACACTTCTAACCCTGTCAAATCCGTAAAACTCCTGACCCTCACTTTCAAGATGACCAAATCCATCAGGCTGATTAAAATTAATCTTATGATTGCCACTAGAACTAACAAAACATAGTCGTGAAACCCTTGACGTTCACTAAGATCTCTACTACCATACCTTTTCTGAATTAAACACCTACGAGGAGGATTAGAATAACAACCCCTACTGTAAACGATAATACCTGACTTGAAGTAGCTCAACCCCTGTAGCAGTGGCTAGGAGATATGTTAAGATGTGCACCCTGACGATACCTCTACTGAGCTTAAAAAATAAAGCTTATCAAAAACACCCACCCCCCGAGATTTTGACAATTTGAATTAAAGTGGCAAAAGTGAGATTAGTTTCAACTCTGCAATCAATTCTACTTTTTATAAAATAACCACCAAATTGAAATCCAACTCCAACTCGATTCGTCAGGGCTTCAAATATTCAAACCCCCAAAATAAAACTGGATGAGCCATAAAGTTGCAATCTCAAACTCAAGCCCGCCTCAAAGACACAAACCTCCAACCTGCAGCATTGGCATTATACTTAAATACGTCTTCCCCAGCTACTACCACTATGTCAATATGATTAGTTTCAACTCTGCAATCAATTCTACTTTTTATAAAATAACCACCAAATTGAAATCCAACTCCAACTCGATTCGTCAGGGCTTCAAATATTCAAACCCCCAAAATAAAACTGGATGAGCCATAAAGTTGCAATCTCAAACTTAACCCCCCTCAAATAATTGCACAATACTTCTAACAACAGCTCTTAATCTGATTAAATTGGCCCCTACCCCCTAGTAAAATACACCTTCCTGATATAACACAACCATACAACCCTCACAAGATAAAGTTGACAATACCCTACACCAGAGCCCCATATGTCAAACTCTAGCCTTAGCATCTCTGACATAAACACTAATCAATCCACAAAGGCATCTTAATTTTAGTTGAGGGTGGAATATTTACTGCAGCTTTAAACACATTTGCCTTAATCGAGAGGACGTACCCTAGTATGGCGGTCATGCTTCATCAAATCAGAACCCCTAACCTAAGACATTAATCCCCATTGGCTGCAAACTAACACTAATTCTCCTTGGACCCTGTTAAAAAGGGGCATTCTTATTACGATAATTAGACCATCTAACCAAGCTTAGCTCATGATACGTATGATTCATTGGGGGTATGTCAAAAAGTCACTCTATCCTCGAATAAAATAAGGGTTGTTCAGCTGATCGTCCTACCACAAGGCTCTCTCAAACTATAACTAGAACTAATCCAACCCTAATAG